TCTTCAAGCTTTGTATTAAGCTTCTCGCCACAAGTACCTGATCAAAAAACACGTCCTTAGACATTTTCGTCTCATTTTGATCCGATAAACTACTTGAAATCAAAAACTTTTGAGACTATAGAGGGCAAAAATTTGATCACACCGCACTTAACTGACACAATCACCCTCTCTTCAGATCAGCTGGGAAACAGCTCAGATTTCTTAATTAGACGGTAGCAATTAATGAGAGAGCTAATTTCGATGCAGTTTAATTTCAAGCACTTTAATTCTTGATCAGTTCTATGATCTTGTTCGATCAGGTGAATAGGAAAAGACCCGTCACTTAAACACTAAAAATCACCAGATCGATCAGAACAAATCAATCAGGGCAGTGGGCAAAACACTTACTCGAACAGTGTCTTCACCCAAGAAGCCTGACGACGAACCACTACCGTATTGAATATGCCATTTTGCACCGTTCGCTTTGTAGGTGCTTGATGAGGACGACGAAAAGCGATGCTTCTGAGCGCAAATTTTCGACCATCTGAACATTACTATTCAACTGATCAGTCATTCAATCTCGATCAAACTGTTGATCGTTTGATCAGCTCCATTGATCTCCTGCTGTCAAATTTTCAAATCAGGTGGCATCTGCTAATCAGAAGCTGCTAAGCTTAAGCCTCTCAAGTGCCGTTAACCGCAAAAAAAGTCACAATAAACAAGAATAAATCTAACATCGAACAACAGCGCTCTTCACACACCAGCGGACACAACGATCCTGAAAATGTACACGCATTGAAATGAGATGAATTCAATTGAATGAAGAAATCACTCCTCTGCTTATTGATCTACTCGGTAGATCAAAACTGGCCAGTGGAGGAAATTCAAGCAAGGAAAGCACTGGAAAAGTAAAAAATTTCTACTTGAGGCAAAAGATATGACTCGTTTCATTTTCGCCATCTGATCCTGAGGTGTTTTTGGCTAAAAATATGAATACCAAGTGTATGCTCTAGATTTTAAGTGATTCTGAGGGAATGTTTTGAAGGTGTTTCTATATCTATTGGTTGATTTTAGATCTGCTTGTGACCTAAACTGCGTATCTATTTTTATTTTTACAACCGTTTCAATGTAAACACTCAAAAAGATACTATCGTTATCATATTGTATCGTTTAAATGAAATGGCTGCTGAATATAAATAAATAAAATCTCAAAATTACCCGAATGAATAAGGGTAAAACAAGTTAAATTTATTGAGCCTTTCGGGATTTTCCGGATCTTATTGGTGGCTAGCTGATTGGTGCTGATTTTAACGACAAAAAAGCTCACCTTGTGCAATGCATACACTACTGCATGACTTGCCCACGGTTACTCCGCACATGGAATCAGGTACCCATAAATTTGAGGATCCTGTATCGAGGACAACGCTAAACGCTTGCTGTGGGGTGCCGATCGTGATCTTGCCCAAATACTCGAAGTCACCATAGTCGTACACCTGCAAAAGCGACTCTCGAGAATTTCAAAGTTGATGTGAAAATTGCTGCTGACCATTTGAAACGTCGGCATTGCCGTCTAGACGAAGGCACGCAGATCTGAGTGAGGCTTTCACCAACCCAACAAAACTATCGATATTTCATCAGTAGAAAGTGGGAGTTTTTTAAAACTGTTAGAGCCGAAAGATCAGTGCTATCGGGAGCAATCAACTGACATATGATCGTCAAGCCTTATGTCGGATACGGCTCTGATCAAATTCGATACCAGTAAGATCACATTTTGGAGTCACAACGATGAGTAAGTCGGATATAACATTGAATCACAAGATAGCTGTGTGTATTTTTTCGGATATCCGGTCTCAGATACCCGCTCATTCGCCCTTTCAAATTGGAGGAAATTACTCAAATACACATAAATCCCTTAGAATCCATAGGTTCAAAGGCTTAGCTTTAGCTGAAAAACGCTTACAATCTGCCCAACGATATCTAGTTTTCTCGAAGGTTGATAACGTCCACTCGATCGCATTATTTCCAACTTTTGGCGATACTCTGCCCATGTGCCCTCGCGGATCATCCTGATACGAGGGCTGGTGTGTTTCGTCAAGGGGATCTGATAAACCGCCGCATTCACACACCACAACACCAAGCCCAACACCAGCAAATTAACCAACGAAAGTCTGCTCCAAATCATTTTCGGAGAACTGAAATTCGAACAAATTTGGCCTGATTGGAAGACTAATTAACTGACGACTCGGCAACACAATCGCTACGTTCGTTTTGGAGATACAACAGAGGATGGGTTTGATGTGGTCTTTAAGTACACTTAAGTACACTCCTCCATTTTAAAGCCAAAAGCAAAAATAGCATTGTTTGTGTGCAATCGAATACTGCTTACGGATCAATCACCAAAAATCACTGCAAAAAATCAATCAACGGCTTATCAGTTGATAGCGTAGTGAGTGCACTCCCTAAGTACAAATAAAAATGATAAGGTGATTACCTTAAAAATTGATAAACTCATGACTTTTCTCGATGCTCTTAGTAATGCCATTACTGCAGCAGCAGTAATTTTGTAGACTGTAAGCATCCACACCCTCCTGATCAGCTCATAATATGATTTTCAAACGGCCATTTGATCGACGCCTATCGATTAGGACAAAAACTACTGCTGATGCTGCTGCACTACAAGTAAATTTTACCGAGTACAACTTACAGAACATGTTCTTGACACTGGAATGAAACCATTACTAGATTACTTACTGTTTAAGTGACACACTCCCATTGATATCGAT